TTTAACATCATCATGTCTTCTTTCAAATGTTTGATTTTGATTTTTTTTTATTTTATCATCAGTAGCACGAACCCATATGGGTATTGTGGGGGCAGGTGAGTGTGTCGCATGAATGGAGACCTTTGGAATAACGTTGGTGGAGTATTCTTCCTAGAGATTGACATGAGAAACTAATCTGGGCTCCTTTGGTCGCTGTGTGCCTCTGATGCCATGATACTCGAAACGCCTTGAACAGCTCGAAATTTTCTGTATTATTTTGAGTTGCTTCCCTTCCCTTGTTCCAGCTCGTTGCATGTAGTTGTTCGTATCAGAGTAACAGAAAATGCAATACTTTGTAGTTTTAATATATTGTGTAACTGTGGTTAAAACATTATTTTTGCATTTGATAAGCACCTATACATTTGGTCCAAATTACCCTTCTCATTATTCAAAATGCCTCCCTAAACCATTCATAAACCCCCATCCACCAACAAACCATTCCGGAAAATTAACACCACCACCGCCACGTACACCCACTGCCTGACACCATTTGATATATATATGTATGTATATTTGGCCTCAACCCTATTCCGTCGGTTCTATGTCCTCTTGCACCAGGACAACCCCGACATGTGAGGTCGGAAGCCTCCAGTTCCGGCGAGCTCGTTCTTCAAAAATTCCGTTAACGACAATGATTATCAGAAATTGAGGGAAATTTGAGTTGAAACAGAGGGAATAAGGTTGTTTAGTCGAAGACGGTGGGTGAGAAAACCAGACGGCATATCTGGATCAAATCCCTGACTATTTTCCGATGAAATTAAAGGTGGAGGCTGTGTTTTTGTTTTTTTTTTTTTTTTTTTTTTTTTCGGACTTCCACGATGAGCAGCCCCATATTTTTTCCGATTATTTTTATTTGAGGTTGAGGAGTGGCTTTGCTTGAGGGTTGCATGTTGGTGATGTGGGGAAGAAGGCGGTTGTGGGGGTGATAGTGGTGGTCGAATTTTGAAGATTTGGAATTTTCTCGCTCCAAAACGTAGAGAGAGAGAGGAGAGAGAAGAAGGGAGTCTTTTGAGGTAATAAAGATGGATGAAAATTTTGTTACGTGTGGTGGTACTAGTCATTTATTATATAGAAACACTCGATTTTGTACGTGTGTGGTATTAGTCATATTATAAATTAGTTTTGTTAAAATTCATTATTTTCATATTAGAAATTATAATACCAATTCTATCCCTAATGTCTATTTTATCATTCCTAATATCAGATTAGAGAGACGGAAGGGAGGTTTAGAAAGAGAAAAGAGAAATAGTAAATTGCATTGGCACCGTGTTTGGGTTAAACACAAGTACCTATAATTTAAGTGTTTTTTGGACAATGGTATTTTTAAATTTAGTAAAATAAACAAAGACATTCAAATTATGATAAAAGTATATACTTATCATTTGATTTTTTAATTGACTCATGTGAATCATTAAATTACTCTTGTTATTCAATTAAAATACTTCTCAAAAATGAAAAAACAAATATAATTTTATTGTGACGTGATTTTATTTTATTTTATTTGGTGGAAGAAAATTGTAATGGAGAAGAAATATGGATTAAGGCATAACTCGTATAAAATAATGTTCAATAGTCCTTTGTTTTCCATTGAGATGTGGTGCTTTCAGAACCATTAATTTTAAAAGGATTCCACACTCCAATATCTTAATAATTCTTCACAGTACGTAAGAAATTGTTTACATGAGAAACGTAATTTTTTTTTTTTAAAAAAAAAAAAGGTGAGCGAGTTTGGACTTTTGGACTGTGGCTCAAAAAGCTCTTCATCTGTAATCAAATAATCCTCCCAAAATGACGTAACTTCAACAGGAAAACAGAGACACTCTCTATATAAACGCGCACACACATATTACTCTCTTAAACAATAATTTTTTGTTTAATTCATTAGACGGTAGAGCCCCTCTCTCACACCACTTTGCCAACAGCATTGTCATTGCCTTCTACCACCACACTGCCACTGCAGAAAGCTGCACCACCACACCACCATTGCCGTCACCTTCCACCATCACCAGTGTCATTGTCTTTGCCATGCCACTAGCTTCTACCACCATTGTTGTCACAGCCTTCCACCATCGTCATCGTCATCACCACCTCTGGGCTTCCATCAGCACTACCACTGCCTTCCATCATTATTATCACCGTTGCCTTCCACCACTACCACATTTTAAGAAATGCATTAGCCAGTGCCATAGCCACAATTTCATTTTAGGATTTAGGATTGAGGCAATGTTTAAAAAAAAAAAAAAAATTCAATTAACATGACAAATATAAATGGTTCAAATAAAAGGCAAATAGTAAATCATAATTTGCAAAATAAATAAATAAATAAAATTATGGTAAAGAAAAATTAAAAAATATAAAATTAGAGTAATAAACTTAAATAAGTAGAAGAGAAAAAAATATATATAGTACAAACATCATACATAAGTACAAAAAGAAGAATTTTAAGAAGTGGAGAAAAAAAAATAATAATAATAACATGGGAGAACTTTAAAGGAGAAAAATTAGAATTTGATTGAAGAAGGAGATTGTAATTTTTTTTTTTTTTTTTAAGGAAATCAAAGGAACTTGAAGAGTAAAAGAGAAAAGAAAGAAAAAAATTAAGAGAAAATTTTGCAATTGAAAATTTAGGAGGAGGGCATTATAGAAAAAAATTCATATATATGTACATATAGAAAAAAATATGTACCATATAAATGTCTTTTCAAAAACAGGTCAAAAACTAAAAGTTTATGTTCTTTTAATAAAAATTATAAAAATCATCATCTAAATAATGTTATTTTTTTTATAATTTTAAATGTTATTTTTTTTTTTCTTTAGGAGGAATATTTTGAAGAATTTAATTTAAACTTGAAGGTTTTAATTTGATCTACCCAAACACTAAAACAATATAATTATTTCACTTATACATTATTTAGATGATGATCATTTTATTAGTCCATTATTTCATATTTCCACTAGCAATTCTATTCTACTCTATTCTAATCGCTTTTCCATTCTCATTTTTTCACCTGGATTTCATTATATTACGAATGACCAAACGTAGACTTAAACTCACTTTTCTACATTTTTTTCATCTGGAAATTGGAATGCATATTGGTTGGGACCCAGTAATAGAATCGTTCCCGCGTAACCTTAACCTTAAATTTTATTTATTTTTTGGTAAATTGCCTTACCTGCTTCCTCCGGACCCTCCTTGAGTACGTCAACCCCAACTTTGGTAAAGACGGTTAATAAACCAAAATATTAAAAATTAAACACTAAAAATATCCTCCAATTAAAGAGTTATTTTTACATTCATATTAAATAAGGCTAAGGGCAGAAAACACCTTGTAATATAGATTATATGCAAAATATATTCCTTTTTTTTTAAAATGCGCATTTTCATTCATAAAATTAAAAAAAGATACAAATAAATCAATCATTTTTTGACAAAAACTAAATGGAAAATGATTATTGTACCGAATAGTTATAGTGAATTGCTAAATCTACTTTTTCAATTGATCAATTTGCAACAAATAAAGAAATGAAACCCTCTACTTAATTATATTTAATGTTCGATTCGATGTCGGTATCACCACTCTAAAGTAAATATGAAAATTCGATCTTAATCCTTTTTGTTTTTTTTTTTTTTTTTGGCTAACAGAGCGTTTCCTTACTCCCTTTTTCTTTCTTTTTTCATAACTACCGCTTTTCCTCTCCTTTATATATTTATTTTTTTGTCATTATATCAAATAATTTATTTTTTTATTAAAAAAAAAATTTATTTGTTTGTGTCAAAAATTTTACCCATTTACTCCGAACAAACAAAAATGTCATTTCTCTCTCTATCTCTCTCACTATATATATATATATAATGTCAATGTTTCCTTTGTCTTTCCTCTTTCCTTTATGCTCCCTTTAAATTGAAGAATTATCAAGAACTAATAAGAAAAAATTCCGAAGGAAGGAAAATTAATTTTTTTGAAAAGTTTTTTTATTTTTATTTTATTTTATTGAAGGAAATAAAAGTTAAGGATATGTTATATAGTTTAGGAGTGTTTAGTTTGGATTTTATTATATCCAGTTTTTGAGTTGTTTGGTTTAACTTATTTCATTCTCGGACAAAATGAGGTTTATTTTATTTTTATTCAAAAAAAAAAAAAAAAAAATGAAATTCTACATAAATTGAACAAAATAATCATTTTACATGCCCTGTATTAAGTTATTAACATAATAATAGTGGGGGATTTTTTGCACTTAATCCTATTAAATATTTATAAGATTTAAGATTCTTATAATTCTCAATAAATTTATTTTATTTTTAATATACATGTTTAATAATTATATATATACAGTATATATATATATATATGTATATATGAAGAAGATATATATATATATATATATATATATATGTATAGTACTGTTGAAAGTACAACGCCGACGACCTTCCTTTTCCGCCGATTACCAGAGTTCCCAACGAGCTCACCGTCAAACACAACTCATACACCCTCGAAACCACTTCCCTCTCCTCTGCCGCCACCATTACCTCTTTCCTCTGCCACCAATTCCCACCCCATTACCGCCTCAAATCTCCTTCTTCGCCCACTAGGCCACTATCACATATCATCTCTCTCCTCCACCAGTCACCACCAACTCTTTCCCCAACCATTCTTTTTTCTACTCTCTAAGGCCTCGTTTGGATTAAGGGATTTAGGGGGTTATGAGATCCATTGGGGCAACCAAATTTTGGCGGTTGAGAGATGGGGAGGTTAGGTCAAATTATATGTAGTACCTTTAACTTTTTAAAAATTACAAAAATCCCCCTCGATGTGATCGCCGTTAGATTCTGGTGGAATCTTTGTTAAATGACTAAAATACCCAAAACCCAGTTTATTCTTTCTGAGCTTTTCCTTTGCTTTGGTCCCCTCTCTCTACTTTCTCTCTGTAAACTTTTCAATTTCCACTGACCCATTTTTTTGTTTTTTTCCGCTAACCCATTTCAACAATTCCAAAAACCCATTCAGCTCCTCCATAGATCAACCAATACCCATTTCTCACAACCCCAATAACTCTCCTCTTCTCTTCTCAACACCGAGATCGACGGCGTCAACACCAACAAGCTCTGCAACGCCGTCCAGCTCTACCTCAGCAGCTCCGTCTCCATCGCCGGCAGCCGCCTCAGCCTCACCTGCGACCTCAATTTCAGCGCTGTCACATTCGGCCTTCCAACAACGATCGCCTCGTCCACATCTACAACGGCGTCTCGGTCCTCTGGGAACACATCGTCGCACAACGCCAATCACAGACCTTTTCGTGGCGTCCATTGCCGGTTCACACCCGCATCAACAAGAAACCCAAAACCCCTCCGTCGATTTGTTGTCGCAGAACATGACCATGAACATGGGTCAGGGTCGGATCAGTTCCACCTGAGGGTGCGGCCGCGGACGGCGGAGCTGAGGAGGAGGGTTGCTCTGTTAGCGGCAAGGGGCTCCATGGATTCCAGCGACCATGACTTCCATCGATTTCGACAGCGATCAGCCGAACAAATTGATTGTGCAGGCAATTTGTGGCGGCAAGGTTGGAGGATTGGGTTTGGTTCGGTAGACTATCAGCGGCAATGCGCCGTGGTGGCGACGATTTGCAGCTATATATACCATCGATTACCATATATAGATCTAATTATACGTATATAGATGATCAGAATATATAGATATAGGTGAGTCATGACTCATGTATGAACAGTATATATATATATATATATAGATCAATATATAGAGAGAGGTTTTAGAGAGGGAAAAAAAAATTGTATGAGTAATTTTAATTCAAAAGTAAGGGTAGAAATGTCTTTACAATCATAGTAAGGGCAAATATGATATTCCATGTTCAAAATGACGGTTATTGACCGAAGTTGACCGTTATCGGAAGGAGCAAGGAGCAAAGTGTTATAACGGAGTGGAAGTCGGTGTAATTATTGAAATTGAAATGTCAGGTAGATATTTTCCAATTTACCTTTTTTTTTTTTTTTTTTTTTTTTCTTTCTCTAAACCGTTTCTGTAACTGACTGACTCTAGTGAGGCTCAGTCTAGAGAGAGAGTGAAGACTACATAAGAGAAGGAGAGAGCGTTTGTGAGAAAATGTGAAGGGTTAGAGCTAGAGAGAGAAGACGTAAAGGCTAGAGAGAGAGAAGACGTAAAGGCTAGAGAGAGAATGTCTATGATGCTGCGCCTGAAGTCTGCAATTGCTTGCGCAAGAAAGATCCGAAGCGAACTTACTAGGGTACCATTTTCGTTGAATTTTCTGGTTTCATGATTTATTAATTAATTTTTTTATCTTGCTTTGGTTCGTTTTTCAAGGAGTTCATGGATATCAGTCGATTGAATGCTGGTTCGGAACCAGAGATTCCAAGAAAACTGACGATGTCTACGGTACAATTATGTTAATCTTCTCTATTAATGCTTTGATTGATTGATGATATGCTTTATCGTTAATACTTTTTGATGTTGTTCTTGAATATTAAAAAAGGCTATGAAAAATGTTGGTTCAGGACTACAGATTCCAAGAAAACTGACAGTGTTTTTATTTATTTTGAATTTATGTTAATTTTATGTACTAATACTTAGATTGATTGACATGATTTATTGTCAATACTCTTTGATGTTGTTCTTGAATTTTCAAAAAGTTTATAAAAAATGTTGGCTCGGGACTACAGATTCCAAGAAAACTGACAATGTATCTATTTATATGAATTTTATGCATTTTCCGATTGATTGACAAGACTTTATTTAATACCTTTTGATGTTCAAGGTGGTAATGAAAAATTCTTATTCCGATATCAGTCAATCAAATGTTGGTTCAGGACCAGAGACTCTGTAGCTAGGGTGTGTTTGTCTCTATTCAGATATATACTCCCTCCGCCTCATATTCAGGGTCGTCTTTAATAATCGTGGCTCAAGGCGACACTAAATATGAAACGGAGGGAGTATAAGATTATGTTAGTAATTTGTTTTGGTAAATTCTAAAAGTATTCTTGAAGAATGTAACAAAAATCAGGGTTTTTTCTTTGGTTGATACTATTTTCTTCTGGAGAATGTTTTAGTTTTGTTTACTAGGTTTTTTTTTTTTTTAGTTTATATTTTAGATTAATTTTATGATTTTAATTCTGTTTGTTCTTGTGTGGCAGATTTCTGACAATACTATCCTAGGGAAATCTACTTCCAGGAGTTTCAAAGGTTGGAAAAAGTGACATTATTATAGATTGGGTGCAAAATATTATACTGTTCTTATATATAATTAATATGTTACCAGTTACCACAGAGTTTATTGATATATATGCAGTTGATATTCATTTTTGTGCCAGTCATTGGATGTGTAGAAGTTCCTGATTTGTTTTTTGTCCAAGGATTTTTTATGTGTAATGTTAATATATTTCATGGTTTCATTGAGGATGTTGAATTAAATATCCTCAATGATTATAATTGCTATATTTGATGAAACATGGGGTGAATAAAAGTTTAGTTTATCTTCATTTCTAGTTTTTTTGTCTTCTTTCCTGAAAGGTACCTAGTTTTTTGGTCTTGATCTCATCAAAATCTTAAGAGTACATTTTTCTTTCTGCATTGTTTAGACTTCTTTGAGCTCTCTGTTTTCTTAATTATGAAATATTAGGTAGTTCAAATAATTGGGAAGTAAAGCTTCCATATTTAGGGTTGTTTCCTTGGCTTTTCCATATGCTGCATTAATTGTATATAAGGTAGGGCACAAGCTAGGAGTATTTCAGGATCGACTGCGAAAAGCAGATATAGGTAGCTGATCTTATATAATAAGTATTAAGGCCTGAGTTAGATGTATCGAATTGGGGGGCTGGGGTATGTAGTCCCAGGGCTTTAGACAGGGGGAGGGATGGGAGAGATAGATGGGCTGATTGGTTTCATCATCCGGATTTCGTATGTTTTTTCACGAGTTTGTCTCTACAGAGATTATATAATGTCGAATATACTGTCTTTTGCTTATAGTGGGGCTGTGTTGCTTTTACCATGGAGCTGGATTTAGCTTATACCATGGGACTGTTGGTTATAGCTTATCCTTTAGACTTGGTATCTTAATTGGGTTGAATTTTTTTCCATTTTCGTATCTTGTGTTCTTTATGCCTTTATTTTATTTTATTTTTTATTTTTTTCTTCAGAATATGCTGGTTCAGAAAGTTATGATGTTAAAATCCAGTCCTTATCTCCGTCACCTTTGCGTCTTGGAGTTGGCTACATGGCTACTAACATTGGTATGCATGCATTAAAGTTGGGACAAATTACTGGAGGACTCAATTGCTTCTCAGAGCTGTATTCAGGTGGTAGATTGAAAGCTTTGGATGTACAAGGTGTCTCTCAAAGACACTACAAGGGAACTCCTAAGAAGGGTACTCCTAAGAAAGGCAACCCTAAGCAGGCAATGGTATGATTGCCATCCTCTATAGTTTCTATTTCTTCTTTATAGTTTTCTTATATGTACTTTGTGTAATGTCAGGATCCAAAGAGTCCTGTGTCCTTCCCCCCTCGCCCCACATTTCGTTGTCCTATATGTTGGCTAGATCCTACTCCCGAGAGGACAATAAAGCGAGTGAATCTGAATTCTAGCGGCGATGTGAAGAAACATTTCCAGGGAACGATTGAATGTAAGAGGGGTCCCAAGTACCTTACTCATCCCAATGGAAGTTATTGTGATTGGTGTGGTGTTGGCTTTCCTACCCAGAACGATGTCACTAAGCATGAGGCCGTCTGTCCTCAAAAGTAAGTCTAATATGAATATGATCATTGTCATTTATAATTATTATTCTTATTATATTATATTATATTATATATATTTATGTATATGTTGCAGGATTTGGGAAGAATGCAAAAAGGCTGCTGGACTTAACTGAATTGGGGAGGAATGTAGTTAGTCTATAGAAAGGAACAAGAGAATCACTGAGCAATTGATCACAGTTTGTTTGACATTGGATTTCCATTTATTTTGATCCTAATACCGTTGCTAGTCTCATAGATTCAGTAAGGAGTCTTGCTTTTCCTTGACTCGACTTATTAATACTTTGTTGCTAATATTTGAATTTGAAATGTGAAATGTGAGATCTTTTTAACTTGCTGCTGAATATATTTCATGCACTTGCAAAAATTAGCATTGCTAGACTCATACCTTGTGTAAAGAGTCCACTCACTCTTGACTTGACTGAATAGCCTATTAATATTTGTTGCTAAGGATTAGATTTTTGAGTGTTCAACATGTGAAAGAAATTTGCTGCTATACATGTAATTTATCAATATATATTTGTATTTGCAAACTAGGCTCCTGCTAGTTCCGGGGGTTTGGGAAGGATAATGTGTATGCAGTTTTACTACATAGAAAGGCTGTTTTCGAATTCGTGACCTTTAGGTTATCATGGAGCAACTTTACCACCCCTTTCCAATCTTCTTTGTCATAAAACTAGTGACCGTATTATATTTAAACACCACTAGCAGGGACAATTTATGGAGAGACATTGGACCATTTCTCTACAATGCCTGCAGGAAATAGCTAGGAAGCAAGTCCAGTATCTTTTTTGCACATTTCTTTTCCCTAACTTCATATCTCCCTCTTGTTAAGTCAGAGAGCCACATCCCAGGAAAACAATACTGCCAAAACACACAACCAACCCACCCAACCACCTCACCATTAATAATAACCACAAAAACAACAATGACAAAGACACTTGTGATTATCTAATAGGTCTATAACTATTACCAAAAAATAAAAAATAAAAAAAAGGAGAAATCTCTCAATGGTCTTTAGCCCTTTTCTTAGGTCTATGAGGAAGTTTTGAGCCTTTCATTGCCAAAAAATCCTCTTCTTTCTCCTTCCTTTTAAAGGGACGTAAATCCTCGGCCACTCAACCACCTCACCATTCGCCTTCTCTCCTCCGGTCACCATCACATTACCAGTATTATTCCTATTATGATCATTAAAACCACATTGTATCATTGGCTGCTGCTGCTACCGTTGTTGCTTGCTCGAAGGAAACCCCATTCAACCTATGAATCCGGGGATGATCCAGTAGTGGGGGCCTTTCTATCAAATTTCTCTGCAAGAGTAGGAGATCGTTTTCCCACCGTAGATCTTGAAACAACCCGGTGGCTGCTGCTGCCACCGTTGTTGCTCGATGGGCTCCCATTTGCTCCTTTTTTTTTTCTTTTTTTTTTTTTTGATGGTAAAACAAACACGCACTTTTTTACCCACGCCGGAGCTCGAACCCCTCCCCTCTTCTTTGAAGATGGGGAGGTTATATCATTGAGCCAAAGGCCCTTTGGTCCCATTTGCTCCTTTTGTGCCAATGAGAATGCTATTCATTAGCTGATTTTGGGGGTCCATATTATGTTTCTTATATCCTTCCCTCCCTGCTTCGTTTTTTTTTTTTTTTTAAATGGCTTGAACCTTAATTTAGTTCTTTGTTTCATAGGTTTTTTTCATGAACATGCAAATTGAATTATTTATGGAAATGAAGTAGCCCGAATTTTTTTTTTTTTTTTTTTTTTACCGGGGAAAAGAATTATTTATGGAAACGGATTGTCTAGATGATCTACCTAGTAAGTTGGCAGCAAAAAATAGGTCAGGCTTCAATCGATTTTGTTATCAGAGCTTTGTTATTAGATGCTGTTTAGTTCATTTTATCTCCCCAAGTATTTTGTATATTTATTATAGGTTGAGGAGCTGGATATTTTTTTTTTTTTTGAATGGTTTGAGGAGCTGGATATTGAATCCTAAAAAAAAACATACTATAATTTTACAGGAAAAAAAATTAAGGTTTTTTTTGCTCTTATGTTTGTCTTTGGTTTTGGATTTTGTTGTATTTATTAAAAGCTAGAGAGTGATAAGCCTTCAGGAGCTAGAAAGTGATTTCAATTTGTGTTCTTTTGTTGAAAAAAAAAAAGTTTGGATTTGAATTGATTATACAAGTCAATGAGGTGCTATCAATGTGTGGGCCTTGAATTTAGAATCACCTTGTGAAGAACATGAATCAACTTCAATTTGTGGAACGTGAATATTTCTGAGCTGGTTCTTGCGCATGTGAACATGAATATATTAATCTAGTATCAAGCTGGTTCTTGGGCCTGTGAACTTGTGAACATGAATATATTAATCTTGAACTTGTTTGACTTTATTTATGTGGGCCTTGAATTTAGAATCAACTAGTACCCTTAGTAATCTTGAGCTCGAGCTCGAGTTTGAAGCTAGAGCATGTTAACTGAGCCTGAATTTGAACTTGGAATTTCTTTAACAAGTCAAAAGACCCAAGCCCAAAAATCATACATTAGATCGACTGTCTCGTGATCCTTGGTTCATTTTAGGCTAAGGTTCCCCAAGAAGATAATTTCAAAATATTTGAGTTTTCAAAAAACAGTTCCAAACAAATAGAAAGCTAAGTCACATAGAGCGGGAATGTGAGAACGGTAGAATTAAGTCATAAGTAGTGAGAATTTGAACCAAAGTACGCGCGAAACGTGAGAGAGAAAGATTGTGTGACTTAAGCAGAAAGAGTTTTTAGAGTGATTGTGTAACTTAAGCAGAAAGATTTTTTTTTTTTTTTTGGTAAAATCACCCATTTTTGGTCCGATTTGAACTTCTGATTGTTTCCATCCGACCCGGTCCTAATGAGTCGGCTATGAAGGGGTACATGCAACCACAATCTCAACGCGACCTATGGCACTCGGAGGAGGATCTGAAAAAATATGGTTCCCTCAAAAAACTGGGGTTCGGCTTGTTTGTTTATAGGTTTATTTCGGATTCACTTGTGATCGTGACGAATTCAAAAACTGAGTTTGGGCTCGTCATGATTTTAGAAAGCTCGGACGTCGCTCCACCTTGACTCATTTAAGAAAACAAATTGAACTCAAGTTCAAAATCTATTTAGGCTAGTTTACAAACTCAAACTCATTTAATAAATCATTATATTTTGATTTTATACTTTCAAAAATTAAAAAAATCCAAAACAAAATGTGTTTGTCATACAACAGATAAGCTTATGGTTCACAAACATATACTATGAGAATTTTTAATATTTAAATTTATTGAGATATTGTTGATAAAGATTCTGGGTGCATTGGTAAAATGCTGGGGCTCCCAAAGGTGAGAGCGCGAGGTCGAAATGGTTGGTACGTTGGTTGCAAAATTGTAGATGAAAATTTTAAAGTTAGGTACTTTTAATGAAAGCAACAAAATGATGCTATTGTTTTAACAACCAATAATCCAAAGTGAAAGAGGAAGTGGTTACACACATCCCTCGTTACCATAACCTTTTTTTAACATTAGGGCAATGAATTAGAAGCAAATCTACAATGAGGTCCCCGTCGCACTTACAGTAGCTTTTTCACTACTTTATTGTGAAGCAGTTGTGTTTATGTGTGGGTGTGTGTGTGTGTGTGTGTGTATACATATATATATATATATATATTTTTTCTTGGTAGGCCTCACATAGGACCTACCTCTGGACTTTGCTCTTTCTCCTTTTCTTTTTATTTTTTTATCCTACTTTTTTCCACCTAAATTGAATGAATGATGATTAGGGAACAATCACTCGAGTATTTTGTGGAATGCCTGGGGCAATGAGCTGCTCATGTGCAGTTCAATAGAAAAGGACGAAAAATAAAAATAAAAATAAAAAAAAAAACGGAGAAAGTGAAAAAAAAAAAAAAAAAAAAAAAAGAACAAGACTTTATGATTAATTTATTGACGGTCATGCATTTGCAACCAAATGCAATATTTCAAATTTCATATATAAACAACTGCCTTCTTTTGTTGAACACTTGCGTTAGTGTATTTGTTATCAAATATTTTAATTTATCTTTCAAAGTGAATGATGAAGGTTTAAATTTGACGTGCTTGAGTTCTTGTTGATTGGAAAAAGTATATTCACATACCAGAGTCAAATAACATGGGAAACAAATTGTCTCCCATTTTAAGAGTTAATTTTAGGCATTTATTTGGTTTTGGATATCAAATTAGCATAGAAACAGTTAGCTGCAAAGTAGAAATATTATAAGATCAAAATGAAGCCAGAGAAAGAAATAAAGAAGACAATAAATTGTGTCATTGATAAGAAAACCTGCAGAAGCAACAGGCTGCTGCTTTGTACACAAGAAGGGCGTGAACAACCATTTAATGTAGAGGACAAAAACACCACAAAATCAAGCAAAATTTGAAGCCTCTGGATTTGATCTGTCTTATCATCATCCCTGCACCAAGTTGGTTGGCTCAAAACAGCAACAGCCTCAGCCTCTGCAGTACTCGAAGATCAACTCAGCCCACCACATGAAAACCTCCCAAATTTTGGCCTCACCTATCTCTTCTGGCTTTGAGCTTTCCGATCAATGTTAATGCCGGAAGGAAGGGAAGCCAGGAGACCTCAGGCACACACGTTGGGAGGGCGCCCGGAGTCTGCAACAACCATGTATGTGCTGAGCCCAGAGGCTCTCAAACAAGGGAGTGTTTTGATCACTCTGAATCACTCTCCATGCTCTCCATTCCTTTCAATCCTCTTCGCTTTTGCTGCAAAAGAACCAATTCACCATGAGCATTGAGTAACCCCTTCATTCTTACATGTATGAATATTTATATTTGTGAACTAGCTCCGCTATTACAGGATCTGGCAAGGATCGAGTGTACACAGTTTTATCTCCGCACGCGGAGAGACTGTTTCCCATTCTTAACCTCGTGACCTCTAGGTCATATTCAAACATATTTAAGCACCACTAGCATACTAACATATCTCTACAATACTTTGGAAGGAAGACAAAAGTACCTTCTTTGCACATTTCTTTTCCCTCACTTCATATCTCCCTCTTGTTACGTCAGAGAGCCACATCCCAGGAAAACAATACTGCCAAAAACACACACAACCAACCCACCCAACGTTAATAATAACCACAAAAACAACGATGAAAGAGACACTTATGATTATCTAAATATGAATATTACAAAAAATAAATAAAAACTATACAATACCTGGAGAATTCTCTCAATGGTCTTGGCCCTTTTCTTAGGTCTATGAGGAAGTTTTGTGCCTTTCATTGCCAAAAAATCCTCTTCTTTCTCCTTCCTTGTTAGAGGGATGTAAATCCTAGGCCACTCAACCCCCTCACCATTCGCCTTCTCTCCTCCGGTCACCGTCCCATTACCAGTATTGTTCCGATTATGATCATTACAAACAACTTGTTGCTCTGATTGCAACGGAGCAGAATCAATACGATTCATGTCATCTGCTACTGCTGCTGCTGTTGTTGCTTGCTCGAAGGCAACCCCATTCAACTTATGATCCCGGGATGATCCGGTAGGAGGGGCCTTTCTATCGAATTTCTCTGAAAGGGTAGGAGATCGTTTCCCCACCGTAGATCTAGACACAACCCGGCGGCTGCTGCTGCCAACGTTGTTGCTCGATGGGCTCCCATTTGCAACACCACATCTTTCTTCCAAACTCCTCCTGGTCATGGCAAAAAATACCCAAAAGGAAAAAACAAAGTAAGAATTTATGCAGTTCAACACATATGATGATAACGTACATAAATCAAATTCAGACAACCGAAAAGACAAAAAGGTTGAATACCCATCTCAAAAAACATTAATATATATAGATATATAGTAAGATTATTGGAGTATAAACACATACAGACATATTGAACAACAAATTGAACCACATAAAACAATATAATTTATCAAAAGAAAAGGTAAATTAAGAGTGAAGGAACTGATACCTAAAATCCATCAGAAAACAAAAGACAGCACAGAGTAGATGTAGACTAACAAAGAAAGAGGTAGAAAAAGGGTATTGAAGTCTCGGATTGGATTATTTATAGGGAAATGATGATTCTACAAAGTTTGTTGGTGATGGTTTTTTAAGCGTTTTCTGATCTTTAAAGGGTAAAAGGGTAAAAAGGTAAAATTAAAGGAAAAGTTACATTGAAGGAGATCTAGTCAGAATGAAGCTAAGGACGTTGGACTAGATCAACCATGACCAAAAGTGAAAGAATCTTTTTCCAGATGACCAAACAAAGCAAGCAAATTATCCCTTTAAAAATAAAAATAAAAAACCCATTATCAGAAATTGGAATCATCAAAAAAGAATATGTAAAAAGAGCAAATTACACAATTTCCCAATGAACAAATGAAGAAAAGAATGAAAATTGAACACACAGTGAATCTCGCACACATACCGGTTTGCAAAAATGCCGGAGCTTTTCTTGCCATTAGATAGGGAAGCAGTTGAATTAACAGAAGAAGGAAGGGGCGGTGGTGGCGGTGGCGTGGCTGGGCGATCAATGGTGATGGTGGTGGTTGTTGGGAGCTTATCCGCCACCGCCACCACACCTGGAGTTGGGTTTGACTGCATTAATCTCCTTTGAACTTTGATGGGTTGCCTTGGTTGAAGCTGAATTGACGACGATGACTCGTCCGTGGCTGCCACCACCGCCGCCACCCGAACATCAGCCCTCGAGCACCTTGACCTCTTCCTGTGTCCCCATTGCAACAGCACATCACCTCCACCACCTCCATTGCAGCTGGGACTATTGGTCCTTGCTGGGATGGCCTCATATTGGTGTTGATGGTTGTTATCAGACTGAGCCGGAGAACTGGGAACACCACCTCCACCACCAACACCGCCACCACCAACGCTGCCACCGTCGAAATGAGACAAATTCTGGTCTGGGGTCTTGGATGGGGATCTAAATCTAGGCAACCCTTTTCCTTCACTTGAATTGGAATTGGATCTTTTACCATTGCTCAAAGGTAGACCATCTGGGCTCACCCTCTGATGATATCTGTCAATAAGCCATTTGAAGCATAGGATTCAATGTTATGAATGCAAATTAAGCACATAACTAATTGGGAAACGAAAAAAATAGTAAAAAAATGCAGGAATCTGATCTGAAACAGAAATTTTGGAGGGTATCAGATCTGATCAACAAATGGACAAGAACTGAAATTGTTCTCTGCTGATCTCTCTGTTCCTCCTCTGTTTAATTGCATAAACATGAATCACTAAATATATTCTATCTTCAACTCTAAAATCAATTAGGCTCAACAGAAAAAATATTTGCCTCTTTTGAGACCTCTTACTAAATTTAGCTAACCCAAAAGCCACATTTCAGCTGGACAATAGTAGAAAACATAAAAATTCAAAAATAAAAAATAAAAATAAAAAAAATGGTGAAAGAAAGATAAATCACTGTGTGTGTGACTGAGGGAGTTAGTCTAAGCTGTGTTATTTGACAGTCTCTTGAGATTTTAGCAGAATAATAACATAACACCAATATGATTTCGATTCTGAAGAACGAAAAGGATGACACCAATCTCAACCAGAGAATGGATGAACGACAAAAATTGTGATTGGAAGTTGAAAGTTGTGATTGGAAGCAAAAAATTGAAAACTCAGACCAATCCAGTGACACTGGTACTACACAACCTAAGAATTGAACCAATAGTTGAAGAATTTCGGAAAGAAAAGTCCCAATCTTTCATGGGTGAGAGCTAAGACAGAACAATTCTTTCTCACAATGCTTTGATGGAATGATAACAAACTCAAATAACAAATCAAGACTTGCTTGATCCGAGACAAATTTTCTGAAAAATAAACAGGGAAATAAAATCTGCATAACAAGACTACCATGGATTCACAGAACTTGATCTGTTGAGATTCAATTCGAAAGATCTGCAATAACAATACGGAAAATTTGGATAATTTAGTCTCCTCATCCATGATAATGGATAGACATAGTATTATGTTTATATAGAGAGGGAGAGACAGAGAGAGAACAAGGCAAGAGCACAAATCACCACCTGAATCTGATGAAAGATTGGTTCTTTACATAACATCTCTCCATATATACAAATTGATAATTGGAAAAACAAGATCAAATGACTAATTGATTCTGTGAAAAAGGAAAACAAAACTGATCTAAATGATCACAACTTGAGATCATTTTAAAATATGCAAACGAAAAATAACAAGCAAGCTTTTGTTCTGGTTCATTCTGCTTCAGAACACACACTCAGACATACAAAAAAAAAAAACACAGACGCAGAGACAGAGAGAGAGAGTGGGTAAGAGAATTTTGGGCAGAAGCAGCTATCGGACGAACCTCATCATATTCCACTGCGCTGAAACGATTGAAGGAACCACAGAAAGTTTACTTCTTCAAATATATATATATATATATATATATATATATATATATATATATCACTGCAGTTTACAGAGAATACACTATTCGTCGTCCCAGTTTAGGAATAAAAGTGCCACTACAAGGACTTGTATACCATGATTTTGAACCAGTCCCTCCTCATTATCCCAGAAGAGAGAGAAAGAGAGTCCCAGAACAGGAGAGAGACCTGGAACAGGAGAGAGAGGAGGAAGATGAAAAGGAATGAGAAGGTAGCGAGAGTTTGGAAGATAAAATGGGGATGAAATAGTAGGAGGTATGTTTCAAATGATTTGTCCAAAATGGCCCTGCTTCTGCTCAATATATCCGGGACTGCCCCATCATATTCAATTTCACTGAGTCAGGGTAGGGTTTCATATTCTATTTTGTTCTATTTATTGGATTATATACATTAACATATCTAATATTAATATATATATTTATATGTATAAAACTGATTGGACGGTTTATGTTTAGCTGTGTGTAACGAGAAATTGAGAATAATATTTATATGTTCTGTTATGTTAGAAAACACATTAAATATGACTAGTATAGTTACAGGAAAAAGCTTGCCCTAGGCAAAATAAGCAGGACTCTCCTTGTGATATTGATATGAATCAATAACAACATTATTTGTGTTAAAAATAAATAAATAAATAAAATAAACTTGAATCATTCCGATCTTTTCACGAGTCATCCAAAAAATAAGAAGATTTTTTTTAATGTGTGCGTGAGATCTAGTAGCGGGCTTTCCTTCTCTTTAACTCACGATTGCTTCTCTCTTCCCACCAAATTCCCATTGATGCCCATCATCTCCACTGCTTGCCACCTCCTCCATTCTCAAATCATAATCTTTTACATCTAATCTTTAGAGATGATTTAAACCATCAATTAATAAATACGCATAACTTTAGTGGCATCCAAAATTTTAAGATTTATCACCATCTGTTGCAAGCCAAATTAATTTCCTTAAACTCCATTAATAATAGTAGTCTTACAATTGTGGTTAATTTACCATTTTGAGCTAATTGTTTAACTCTTTGAATTGCAATATAAAGGGTTTGGAATAGAAAATATCAAACCGTATACAAAAAGATTCAAATAATTTTTATTAATTATTTTAAATTTTTTTTTGACTCATGTCATATTTTTATTGATCCATATCAGCATCACAAACATTCTTCTTAGTTACATTGTATTGTTGCATAAAATGGTTGTCATGAGCAACAAATGAAATATGTAGTACCAAGTTTTACATAGTATTAGGAATTATTGAGAGTATAGAACTTACTTGGAAGAGAATGAAATTGTTGCCAAAAATAAAATAAAATAAAATAATCATTTTAGAACTTATTTATTCAAAATAACACACATATTTATTCAAAATATTGATCTCATTGTTGACATTGTCTACGAGGGAGAATTACAGTGGCTCAATGTCAATGATGCTGCCAATCTTGAATGTAATTCTGTTTTGATTAATTAATGATATTTTGCCTTTTGATTTTAAAAAAATGAACTTACCAAAAAAGTTTTGATAAAAAATAAAATACCAAAAAAGTTCAATTGACCAACCTTGAATTTACAAAGGCCAATAAAGACAATATATACCAGGTTGGTAAGATAATTAACAATTTATTAATTACAGAGTAATTTTTTTTATCCTTGCAAGAAAGTCATGCACTTCGTGTCAAAACTTAAACCATCAATTTTTTACTTTGAAAAAATAATAAATAATTATAATTAATCTAAAATTATTGAAGAATTAATTAAGTGGTCCATCAAATCTATCACCTATATTCATTTTCTAATTGTATGGTTGATCGGGATTATATAGTCCTCAATTATCTAATAATTTTTGAAAGAACACGTATCAAAATGTCACTACCTAATTAAATTGCCTATGTACTAATTATATTAATTAACAAAGTCATATTTTTGCCCAATAACTTATTAGTGGCACATTGCCTATCTAGAACATGGGCAACATGACCAACCTTTAACCCTTCAATTTTGCCAATCCAAGACCTGACTACAATCTCGATTCAGAACATATGAAGTCACTTGCATTTGTTTAAATAAAAATAATATTATCAAAAAAAAAAAAAAAAAAAAATCACCAAGTACTTTTAAAGGCGTGATGATGCATGTGAAATGCTTTTATACTATACAAGCGTTTACTAATAATAAAAGCAAAAGAAAAATATACCTTCAAGTCAGCGAGGCGGACGATAATTAAGGACTAATGGCCCCCACAAAATTGTGGGGCCCACACACCCTTATTTCTCATAATCTCATGTCTAATTTGATCGAATTATTTTAAAGAGGCGCCGTTCTTTTGTTGGCGTGTTCTCGTTCTCAATTTTATTTTTGTGACTCAGATTTTGTTAATTTCAAATTTTTGCTCTTGCTCACTCCCTCCCCGTTTTGTGACTTAAGATGTGAATCACGCTGTTAAAAGTGAAAAATCAATTCAATTGAAAAATAGTAAAAAAAATAAGAATAATAAAAAGTAACTACATTCAATAAGCTTTTATACCCTATTTGCCGTTGGTTGGGTGGATTAATTAGTCTCCAAAAAGGCGTCGTGGTACTGCCCGAGTGGAAAGGGCCAAGCACTTGAGGTGCTCCTCACTCTATGGTTTTCAGTTCGATTCCCCCTAAATCCTTAATGTAATAAGAAAAAATTTGTCCCACATCAGATCTGGATGAAAAAATGAATGAGTATAAATAGATGGGTATATAATATTACCCAATATCTTAAACTTTTGGACAAGTATCCATCCGTTACTGTTGGTATTAAACCCAGACCAGTTCTTGATCCGATGTCAAACCAAGCGCCTGGCCTGAAGGGCGTCCGGTTCTGCACCCCGGGAGGGCGTTACGAGTTCGGGTGAGTGAGAATGTAATAAGGGAAAACTTGTTCCATATCGGTTCCGGATGAAAAAGTGAATGTGTATAAGGTGGATATGCAACACTACCTAATAGTTTAAACTTTTGGGTAAATGGGCAACCCTAGATATCTCGTGACCAAGTTTCCTCCTTTTTCTTACATGGCGTCCTATGCAAGTGTAACAGTAGGTGAAACTGCCAAGTGCCCATCATCGCCCACTCGTTACACCTAATTACTAACCGTCTAACAACTAAAACTATTATACTACGTTTAGTGTGCAGAATTGGAATGGAATGCAAATGGGAATGAAATGAGAATAAGAATAGAATGGAATGACCATTCTCATTTTATTGTTTGGTTGTAAATATAAAATGTGTAAGAATGGAATAATAATAATCATTTTAATGTTTGGTTGGATCAATTTAAATTTAAAAATAGAATAAATTTCAAATTGCGTTCTCCAAACTATCCCTCTTAGTAACAAATAAATTAAATTAACAAAATGACATTCTTCTATAATTTTTTAAAAATAAATGGTGGCAATGGCGGTGGTGGATAGTGGTGACGATAGAAAGCGGTAGTAGTGTAGGTGGTGGTGTTGGAAGGTTACGGCGGCAGTGTTGATGGAAGGTGTTGGCAGTAGTGTAGTGGTGGTGGTGGAAGGAGATAGTGGTATATATGGCTGTGGTTGAAGCCAATGAAGGTGACTGTGGTAGTGGTGGAAGGCAATAGAATAGTCGATAGTGGTGACGGTGGAAGGCGATGGTGGTAGAAGGGAGTGACGGTGGTGGTGGAAGGCAACGGCGGCGGTGGTGGTGGAAGGTGATGGCGGTGGTGGAAGGTGGTGGTAGTGGAAGGCGGTGATGGTGGTGATGGAAGACAGTGGCGGTGGAAGGCGATAGCCATAGTAATAGTTCTGGAAGGTGGTGGCAGTGAAAAAAGGCGGTGGTGAAAGGCGGCAGCGGCTGTGGTGAAAAGCGGTGGCAGTGGTGGTGATGAAAGGCTGTGGCGGTGGCGATAGCAGCGGTGGAAAGCGGTGGGCGGTGCTGAAAGTCGATGGCAATTATAGTGGTGGTGGTGGTGAAAGATGGAAGTGGTTGTGGTGGAAGATAGTGGTAGTTTTTTGACTTAGAACATGATGGTTTTTTGAGAAGTTAATTTTTTTAAAAAAAAATTATTTGGGAATGGAATGGTCATTCCATAGGTTTAGTTATTTTTATTCCAATGGAATGGTCATTCTCACTTTAAATTACATATCAAATAAAGAAATGTCATTTTATTTCATTCATGCACACCAAACATAGCGTTAATACTTTAATAACTTTACCATTTAAAAAACTCTTATGACACTTAAAAATATTTAAAATAAAAAAAAAAGGTAGACAAAGACCCCTTGTTAAAAGAAGGATAATTCTAAATGACTATAAAGAAGCCCACTCAAATTTCCCTTTTAGTAGTGGGGATTATCTATAATTACTATTATGTATCTATATTAGAATTTTATTTATTTAGAAATCTTGTGCAGAAATATTTGAGCTCTAAGGAATTATATTTAACGAGAATTGATTAAAAAAAATTAATAAATAAATACTTAAGTTATATGTTAAAACTTACTTAGAGATTGAGAATGTGAGATTTATAGTCTCTTTGAGAGTCACTTAGGAAATAAGTTTGTGACGAGTCTGAAGAGAGATCATGGAGTGACATATGATTCAGTACCATGGAAATAATTGTTTTTGAGTTTCGAAATTACACAGCACAAGATAAAATGACTTACATACAACCACTCAACCATGTTGTTCATGATTAAGTATCTTGAATATTCACCATAAAAAGAATTTTTAGAGCATCTATCATATTGAATTTGCAAATTTTTGCTCAAGGTGATTTAATTTGTTGCTTATGTGTCAAATAGAAATGACTTGATATAACAAGAAACTCGTGCAAAACAGCTTATTGAATTTATCCACAAAAGAAAAATCAAAACACTTCCATTACTGAATTTATTTACGTATCGTGTTATAAATTATTCGTGTATTTATCAAAAATTTATGCAGAAGTCTCCACAATGTGTGTGTATATATATGACTTTGTTTTTATATATATGAGTCAATTGTTTTGAAGAGACATAACTTAGACATGCCTTTTGAACTAATTTTCTTAGCAATAAATTCTTACTGTACTTTGCAAAGCAAAAGTATTGCATAACTCCTCAAGTATATAAAACGAGAAGAAGGGGATATTTGTTATTTGGTGATTTGATTTTCTAGTAATAAATTCGAGGATAAATTTTTTTATAGTTTGAGATTTCATTCAAATCTAATTATATTAAATATAAAAAGGGAAATGCTTAGTTACTCACTGGTGAGTAGCTTCACCCTACTCGTCCCTTATGTGTTCCAATAAAAAAAAATAGATAAGCTTTAATAACAAAATTAACAAAATTATAAAAAAAATGAGAAGAAAGTCGAATCGATCCATTTTAATTGAGTAATCACCCTTTCTCTTTTCCCTCTCTTTTTCATCGATTCCTAAACCCACACCCTCCTCTCTCACTGTTCTTCTTCTTCTCACCTCTATGGGACATCATCAATCAATGAGCGAGCATGTTTGATTCATGTTTAGGTTATTTTTCTTTTTCCTCTCGTGCTCCATTGAACATCATCAGTCAACAGGCAAGCAAGAATTGTAGGTTTAACTAAGTCTTGTAGTGAAGGTATGATTTAATTCTTTGCTTTGCACATTTAGGGTTTAATTTTTAGAAAGGGGTTTTCAATCATCATTCAATAAGTATTCCCAATTTTTTTTTTTCTCTTTCTTGCTTTTTTTTTTTTAAAAAAAAAATTTCTGTTCTTGATGTCCCAGGTTGAGTTTTATAAAATAGGAAAGATTATGTGTGATATTAAATTGTCCAAATAAATAACAAAATATTACTGAAAAAACTCTTCAGAATATGTAGTCTTCAAAACACAAATTAGTATAACGCAATTCTACAAATCAATAGTATTTTAGTTTTAATAAAATAAGAGACTATTATTTTATATTTTATTGATCAAAATAAATATCCTAGTAAGAAAAATAATGGTATGGAATAAATTTCTTAGCTAAACAAAGTATAGAAATTTAAAATGAATTTAAACCATATATTTTTGCAAAGGCCCTACATCCTGGTGAAGAAGAAGAATAATGGAGAAAGCAGGGCGTGGGTTTGGGAAACAATGAAAAAGAGAAATGGTGAAGAAGAAGAACACTGGAGAGAGGAGAGTGTTGGTATGGGAATTGATGAAAAAGATAGAGAAAAGAGAAATGATGATTACCCAATTAAAATGGATCAATCCGACTTTCTTCTCTATTTTTTTATTTTATTTTATAATTTTGCTGATTTTGTTATTAAAGTTGATGTGTTATTTTTTTATTGAAACACATAAAAGATGAGTAGGATGAAGTTACTAGGCAATAAGTACTTAAGCATTGTCCATACAAAAAAGGATGGGATATTCCTACTTTACTTTTCTAAAGTTGCACGTCACTAACTTTTTTTTTTCTTATAAAAAATGACTACATAAATTCATTAATATATCATTCTTTATTTTAAAATAGCATAACTATCATACTATAAATTTAACTTTCTTCCTTTTTTCTTTTCTTTTTCTTTTTTTAATTTCTTTTGTCATGTGGGAAGAGATGGTTTATCTAACAAATATAACTTGTTTTCTTGGATATTTTTTTTTTAGAATTTTTTTTCTTGGTTCTTGTTAAAAAAGATAATTTATTAAATATATATTACCATTTTTTTTTTGGCTTGTCAAAAAATAATTTATTCAACAAAAATACTTCTTTTTTTTGGTTTTTTTTTTTTTTTTTTTGAGTTTTTGTGGGCCAGGTCAGAACAGGTAGTTTATTCATTGGAGATAACTCTTTTTTGGGTTTTTTTAATTTATTTTTGGTACTTTTTTTTTTGTATTGCTATCAAAAGGGATAATTTATTTAATAATCGTAACCCTTTTTTTTTTTTTTTTTTTTTTTTTTAAAGGTCCTGCTAAAGCAAGTAGTTTTATTTATAATTTTTTTCTTTTATTGGTCTGGTCAAAGGAAACCGAATGCATTAAAGATTGGAGAGAGAGAGAGAGGGAGGGAGGGAGGGAGGAGGAGATTAACCATATCTATAAGGTAGTTGTATAATTTAAAAGAGAATAAACGTTTTAAATTGGAGCGGAGATGCAGAAAAGTTCTTCTCCCTATAAAAATTAACTTTTAATTATTTAAAAATGAAAATTTTCAATGTTAGACATTTAAAGTTGAGCCACTATTACCTTCACCTTAACATTCATATTTCTAAATTTACTCTTTTTTACTATAAAAAAAAATATAATCAATGGAATTTACTTCTATTTTTTAAAGAACCAATATATATATATATATATATATATATAGAACCAAGGTCTTGAAGAAGCCACTTGGATTGTGTCAAAGTCTCTTTAAGAGGCGTAAAAAATGACCTAAATTCAAGTTACTTCTCAGCCTAGAACATTTTGGCTGACTTGTCGAGTTACCAACCATAAATTTATTGGAATGCTCGTCATTCACACGCAAATAGGCTTTGACAAATCAGAGAGTTCAATATCAATTAAATTACAAAAACAACCAATTTATACTACTTTATTTGGTTTGCTTCACTTGAACAAAATGAATTTGGTTGCCTCAAACAAGGTAAAAATGTCCATCCCACCTTTTCTAGGGTTTGATATGTAGCCCAACCATCTTGACTATTCAATTAGTTATGAAGAATGCAAGGTTAGAACACGGACTTTCGAATACGGTAAGCAACCCAATCACTCTGACAACCGGATACTTGCGAATCAACCCATAAATATAAAGAAGCCATTTTTTTTAAAGAAGGCATCCTTCCATTGCATTTTGAGTAGCTCCATAGTTATCAATAAGACACAGAGACGAAATAATTTGAAATCTAATTTAGTTTTTATTTGAAATGTGGGATGATGAAATAATGTATTAATTGCAATTAAGGGATAATGAAATAGTATATTATTAGCTAGGTTTAGGAACAAGGCTGCACATTTGATTGTGTGGCCCAGGTTTGAGTTATGGACTTACATTGGTTTAATCATAGTTCACATGACATAAATTGTTTTGCTTGGTTATGAAATGAACATGTTGGACACAATGCATGTCTTAGTACATATAATAATAATTTGTTTTGCTTAGTTATAAAAACATGTTACAACTGAGCAAAACATAATTGGTATTGCTTGGTTATGAAAGGAACATGTTTGGACACAATGCATGTAAAGTCCTAGTACATAATTTGTTTTGCTTGGTTAAATTTACAACTTTTATTTTCCAGGTAAAATCAACATCTGTATTTTAAAAGTTACCTAAGTAGTTCTTCAAAATTTTTAATATCATGTACAGAAGAGTGGGTGGAGTGGAGGAAAAATTTGCACGGTTTGTGAATATGACCTATCTAGGCTATATCTTGTATGAGTGTGATTAGAAGTTCAAAACAAGCCTATAAAAATAAAGGGTAAAGCACAAAAATACGGTACAAAAAATTGTTCTCGTGATATGTTAAAAAAAACCTTTACATTTTTTAAATTGAGCAAATAAAGACATTAACTTAATTTGAAGATTGAAATACCTGAATGCCCTTAAAAAAAAAAAAAAAAACACTTACATGCACAAATTTTATAGAGGGTATATATATATCTCTATAAAAGGGTCAAAATTGGTGATAAGGAGTAATTTGCACAAATTATCAAATGCTACAGATTTATATAACAGGAGGGATTTTTGCACTTTCACCAAAACTAAAAAATTATAAAAAGATTATCTTCCCAGCCTTAATAGCAACAATTTAGAATCCTAAGAAAAAATAATAATAAATTAATTAACAATTTAGAAGGATATGAACTCAAATCACAATGGCAATTATATGGAAATGGCCATAATAGATTTTCCCTGCTCAAATAGCAGTCACATGACAAATTTTTCTTCTCAAACCATATGATATAAACGCCCTCATTTCATGGCCTTCTTGGATATAGAAAAAGAGTATATTGATTCATTGTGTACGAAAGAAAATTAATTTCCTGACACAGGAGAGGCTTCAGCTCAAATTTGTGGTTCAATAGGTTCCAACATCACAAGACTTAAATGACCTACCAGCTTTTTTTTTTTCTTTTTTTAATTAAAAAAAAAAAAAAAAAAAAAAAAAGATTAAATGCCAGAAGGAACACCACATAACCATGTTTGTGGAAGCAACAAAGGTGATCCAATAGATTTAACAATCATTTCTTATTGTCTGTTGATTATTTAGGGAAACGCTTCTTTTCCTTCAAAGTATGGCAGTAGGTTTTTGTATTCACCAAAATGATCATTTGTGGGAACCATTTTCTTCAGGGACTCAGCAACTTGCTCCTCTCCACCCACTGCATCGTATGAGTGCTCCAAAATAAGATCCTGAGATTTTAGGTCAAAAACATTATTACATACAATTTGCAAATAAGAAGTCATAGAAAGACCAGTTTAAAAAATCTAAGAGCATCACGATGAGATACGGTTAAGAATGTCAAGGGAACTAAAATGTATATGGACAACCCAGGAAGAGAACAGGATCGAAGTTTCACAACAAAAGAACTGCAGGAGATATCAAGAGGCCCAACTGCCAGAACTAGCCTGATTGCCTGAAGAATTTCCTATGACGTTAAGGGCTCTTTTTTATCTTTTTCTTCAGGGTCAAAACTGGATGTCTTGAAAGAATCTGCAATTTTTAGATATTCTGCAATACATATTTTTTTACTTCTCAAGTAGCATAACCATTTTGCATAAATAATAAAATATGATATTTTTACTTTACTAAAAGATTATTCAAATTATTATATTACCCATAATTTGGATAGCTTGCATGTGAATCATTACTAAACCTTAGTGAGAAATTGGGCATGTTTAAGTTGGCAAGTCCTTTAGCAGATGTGATATCATTATGCAGAACCATATGCATCATGTCATTTAATGACACCACACAGAGGAAACATCAGGCGATTCCTACCTTCCTCAACACGAACTCTGAAATAAGTGAAAAGCATAGCATCCAAGGAAGACTTATGTGAACTTGCCTATGCTTAGTATAGTCGAATGATCATATCCATGTTTTTATGCCCGACCTTCGGATTCTTCTGCAACTAAAGATCACAATAAGAACAATAGCAATGCTGACGATGATGATGAAGACAGCGACAACAACATAACATGAATACGTTATCAAGTTACCATCATTTAGAAGACCAAAATGCCCCATTTGTGAAAGGATAAAGAAAAAAAACCTATCCATTGCAAAAAAAATCAAGTTTAATCCTCTTTCATCATTTTCAGTTTTTGCCAATTGTTATTGTTCACCTCACGGCTACTAGCTTGTCTGTATAGAGTAAGCATCCCTTTCTTATTTGGCCTTGGCAAGGTGTATTACCTTTTACCAAAGACCGTGTATGAATTGGACAAGAATGAGAAGGTGAAAGAATAAACCAAAATCATTTTGTACCTCTTGTTACAGATCTCTGAGTCAGTTATTAAACTCGAGGCCCTATTTACACCATCTTTGACACAAAATGACGATGGCAATCTGTGTTTTGATCGGAAAAATCTCTTTTCAGTCTAGATACGTATCTGTCTTTGTAATTCTAGAACAAAACACTGGTGAGGTTAAAAAGACCAGCTTTGCCAGACTAAGTCACAAAAAGAACAAAGCCCATCATTTTTTTCGGTTACAAAGATCCAATTTGTTAATGAAGCACTTTCTTCATTTCCCTTTCTTTTTTGTGTTCTTCTTCTTGCGCTTCATTTGCATTTGCTTTTAATATCTTCTTGAAGTAAGAAATCCAGTATGGTCAAAACCTCGGATGCTATTTCTGGTTGTGGATAAGAGAAACATATTCTTGCACCCCCTAAATCTAAAAAATTATGATGCCACGGGGCCCAGAAATATTTTAGCTGTTTCTCAATTGGAGAAATCGAGAAATTGAGTTCCTTGAGTCAGATCCAATTAGAAGTTCCACGTGTTCAGCGAACTCCTAAGACTTAAGTGATTTAAGATCTCTCTGTCTCTGTCTCGAACCTTGGCCTGTGGTTTAGGCCCTTTAGGGTTCAAGCCATAAGCCAACAGGGTACAAGGTGAAACGGTAGGGTAAAAATACTATGAAGTATGCACAACACTCAGGTGTGAAATGCTATGAGAAAGTGAAGAAATATCAAAACCTGAAATTTTCAGCACAAAGCTGCTCCAGGTAAATCTACCGGAAGAGTCTCGGCACCGATCTTTTTGGTACCTTGCCTTCAAGTTTTAGTCTCCTATGTGCTTCCCTTATGTGGCAAGGCCTGATTGGCCCACTCTCCTTTCTCTCTGTCATCACCATTCTGGCTGCAAATTAAACTGCGTTAATGCAAGATACGTTGAAGGGTGAACGATTCAATTGGTAAATATACAATTTGCCTTGAATAAGCCAAAAGACAGATTTGAGACACAGATAATGCAAAAAAAAGAAGGATCAGATTCTGCAATCACATCTCTATATCAGAGCACAGATTGCTCCAGAATGATAATGATCCTTTCTCCTTTTTGTTTCAGTTTTTCAGTAAGATGACTGAAAATTTCACTATTCTCTATAAATAAAATATGAACATAAACTTAAGAAAATTTGACGGTGTTTGTGTACCTGTTTCAACAAGTTCACCAACAAACATTTTTGCTATTCCTGACACCACGATTGTCATTGGTACAGAAATTTTTGCACTTCCAGTGATGTTTGATAACAACTGTACTCACATTATAACGGAAACAACATAAGCAACAGTTGATAAACGAGTAAACACACATGTCGTGATGTATAAATGATGCAGCTCATTAAGGTTGCATAAATGAGTAAGTGGCACGCTGACAACTGATGTGCGTACCCAAAATGGTCATATCCTAAGTAATCCGTTCGAATACCCACCCAAAATGGTCATATCCTAAGTAAACCCTTCGAATACCAATAATCACCCCCATACCACAGGTATTGGGTAAACCCAATGCTTGTTTTGTTTTTAACACTTCTAGGAGTCGAACGCGAGATCTCTATGATATAACCAGTGGCTTTATGCAATTTGGCCGCTTGTGAGATTTACATGAAAATAAATCCATTGCTACTAGAATGAGAAAAAGATCACTTCCATGAGGGAAATACTATCTCGTAAAACTTAATCCCAACTACTTCAAATTTCTTTGGAAGAAAAATAGAAGACAAGAAGAAGAAGAGGAAGAAGAAGAAGAAGCATAGAAAGACAAATAAAAGCATACCCTTTTCATGTTTGCTTTCTGAAATCCAGATCTGCGGAACGATTCATATCTACTCATTTGTTCCTCTGTGAATTGTGACAAAATAGCCCTGAAGAGAAACAATATGTAAAGGTTCAGAGATATGAGTTTAGTCATACATGTTCTCTATGAAAAATGAGGGAAGGAAAAGGGACACCAAAGGCTATTTGAACGTCATATGGGACTGAAACCATTTTATGTCCCTAACACAGTACTTAAAAAGTGTTTATTTAATATTATTAGCTAATGCTATATCTATTGAGCAGCTGAACAACTGATGAGTTTTAGAAGCATAAAACGAAGGTTGTGGACCCCACAACAATAAAGATGCCTTTTTTAATCTAAAGCAACTCTATGGCAGTAATAGAGCCTTTATCTATGATTATATCAAGTTATAATTCTGCAGGACAGATTTATTTATACTTTTTTAGTTTTAGCATCAGGGTATTTTGGTGATTGCTAAATTTTCTGGAAATGGGCTGATGCAGTGGTCTGATGAATCATATCTCAAGTCAACTAATGTTAATGACTCTAAAAAGTGATCCTTAGCAAATCTAGAAAAGTTTCAGTAATCAAAGTTTCACAATTTCTAACTTTCAAGCAAGAGTCCTGGTAAATTAAAGAGAACCCAAAAGTCTATATATGTGTATTCAAGCTTTCAATTCAATAGACTTGAGTTCTGAATATTGTTTGTGTGGCTCAACTTAACCCTTGCAGTGGTGAAGCTTAAGACTCTAGGTAAAATTCCTATAATCCTCTTCATGCTCTTTATTTTCTTCTCTTTTGAGTTTAACGATCCAGCAAATTTTCATAGCTTCTATCTTTAGTCAAAGTCGAGTAGAATTAAGAAAAATGAAATTTTGTTTCCATGCATATATATCTCTGTATTAGAGGATACTTTACTAGTCATATAGATTCCAGTGTATAACTTATGTGTACATGAGTGCATCCCCCATTAAAACTTTCTAGTGATGCCTCTACTTATAAAACGAGTCTTTTAACAAACAACTCTACATCACTTGTTTTGCTAAAATCTCACCCAAACCACATATTAGAGGGAATCAATTTGTTAGGTCAGTAGGACTTAGGTTGGCTAATTTTGTACAAAACGGAGTCTGTAATCTTAATTTTTTCATTTATCTATCTATCTATCTATCTATATATATATATATATATATATATATAAAATAAAGTTAGTTGATCTAGTTAGGTGTTACCTTTGATCCAAGTTCTTCACGGAGATTTCAAGGTTTCTAGAAGGGTAGCAAGGCAAATTCACCTCTCAAGTACTCTCCTGCCAAATTAGTGTCTTCATTCATGCATTCATATGATTTATCATTCTTAGTTTGCGTTGCATATTTGTTAGAATTAAAACTGGTATTTTAAATTGAAAATCAAATTTTGTTGAAATAGGAAGTTTGATTGATCAAAGCTTTCGGTCAGTCACTTTTGTTCTAATTCGATGCACCGACTGATCTATGGGGATGTTAAACACCTAAAACCCTAATTTCTGCAGTCCTAAAATCAATATAAGCATTGTAAAGGTCATATAACGTATACTTTAAGCATTCTGAGCATATTGAGAGCATATAGACAAGCTAGGGCAACTAATTTCTTTCATCATCATCATTGCATGTAGGTAGTTCAAAGGAGGACCAATACAATCAATCTAAACAAGCTAAATTCAAAGTTTGGACAACTAGTTGGCAGAGAACAATCAAGGTAGAAGAAGCAGATCAACAATTAAAATAAAACTCTTGGATGTGATATCTGGAGTGAGGCTCTAATTGTGACTTTGATTGTATGTTGTGCTCTACAGCATCCGAATACATAAACTCATCTACTGATGATTTTTCTTCTCGTTTATAAGTACAAACAACAATATAATACACTGTTCCCCCGTAGAGGCCATCCTGAAATCCAGTATCTGTATCCCGTTATCAAAATGAAAAGGGACTGGGTTGAGAACCCAGACTATAAAGATTTTATGTACATTTATCTGTCTAGAAAAAAAGATGCATCGCTATATTGTCAAATCAGCATTCCTATCATAAATGTCTTAGTGCGTAGAAACATTATGTTGAAACTGGTTTCACATGGTTTAAAATTATGGATGAAATTGCCAAGAAAGTGGACGCATTGCTTGAGCTTAATAACACATCAAGTAATGGTAAAGCTAAGACTGTCACTCGTGAGGAGAGGCTTCAAGCCTAAGAGCAGCCACTTTGTGCAAATAAAGTGGAAGGTTAGGTCTATAGTCCACCCCAGCAAGCTTATTTTTCAGGGACCTATGGTCTTTATTTATTATTGCTTGAGTTTATCTTTGCCCCAAACACATTTAGTTTGGGACTCCTTAGCATCTCTACGGTTTTCTAAGACTCTTTTTCTTGAATTTTCAAAATGAAATACAAAATGTCCTTTCTAAAGGACCCAGATGGCAAGGATCATTCCCAAATCAAGATTTTGAACCATGTGTCTAGTGAAGACCAACCACAGAGATCGTATGAGTAAAAACATGTCTAAGTTCCAATAACTTATTATTGAAATTTGAGGAGGATTTCCAGTTTCCCCATTGCTCCTTGTAGTCTAAGAAGTTCTCTCAAGTGCTATTAGTTTGCTTATTGTGGTTCTTTGACCACACACGGCTTCTTTTCTCCATCACTTTTTATTTTTTATTTTATTTTATAAAAAAGCATCCTCTTGTTCAATTTTTTTTGGGAACTCTATAGATGTTTCCCAAAGAAGTTACACATTAATAGTTCATAGTTATAGTAACACAAGTTATTCATCATAATGTGTATTAAAATAAGTTCATTAGGCAAACACCTCAAACCACAAGAGTTGCAACAAAATGATATCCTGGATAATTCATTAAAATTAGCACATAAGAAGAGCAGCATTTACTACACTAACAACAATCATAAACTTACTGCATCTTGGCCATTTTATCGGGGTCCCCAGTAGATGGAAGCTTTCCAAGCTCAACATCCATGTTTTCGTCCTCTTCCTCCTCTTCTTCTTCTTTGCTCTTGCGGGTTCGGATAGTGGTCCCAATGGAGTTTGATGCAGCAGCAGCAGTCGATGTTGATGGCTTCGTAGGATGAATACCGGCTCTATCATCTTCATCTTCATCTTCCTGAAGATTAAGAGTGACCTGTGCAGCGGTAGTTTGAGTTTCGATCCCATCAGGGGCGATGGGGGAATTAGGTGGTGATTCCTCTTGCTCCTCAAATGCAACTTCAAAAGGATCCTTTGATTGCTTCATTATCTTCTCTGTTTTCAGATGAAATCATGAAAAGACTATCAATAAGTAAACAGAGATTTATACAAATTATAAATCCTTCAATCCGCCGATTCTGCCCCCCAAAACACACACACAAGTAATCTTTCTCGGCTTTCAGATGAAAAAACTTTCAACAACCAGTCAAAGATTTTTGTCTAAATTTAAATTCGTTCTTCCCTTCCCCATCTGCTTGGGGGGGGGGGGGGGGGGGGTGTTGGTTCCAAATGCAGGGACTAAATCATATTACCAAATTGTCTTTAATAGTAGTATAAAGAATTTAAAATAAATATAAAAACAAAACAAAACAAAACAAAAAGAAAGGAAAAGAAAAAGGATGATCGCCATACTCAATCAGAAGTTGATTAATGGCAGACGCCATCCAAGAAAAACGAATCAACCTAAAACAGAAAGAAAAGAATGAAGAACGAAAAAAGGACAACAAACAAAACAAGACGAGAACGAGGAATGTGTCTCCAGGCTTACTGGTCAAGGATGATCAATGATGGAATCAAGCAATCAACTCTTTGTGCATCAAGACTTTGAAGGGACTTTAGGAAATAAATTGAGACAGCATGCCCCTTTTGATTTACGTTTGACATGGTACATCTATTTACGATTTTAACTTAGTAAGTGTGTTTACCACCCTTCAAAAAAAAAAAAAAAAAAAAAAGGGGGGGGTCTACTTGTGTTCATTTCATAAACAAGTCGACATGAACCATTTATAAAGTGCGTGAAAACTGGATACAAGGATCATGCATCACAACCTGTTTAACATTAGTTTAGGAACCATGTTAGGATATGAACATGATTAAGCAAGTGACTTAAGTTTTGATCTTTACTCAACCAGACTCAGCTTGTTCAGATTAATCGGTATTTATGACATGAACCATTTATATTTCCCAACCAATCTAAGAGATCTACCAAAAATTTACAAAATCCAAACAACAAAAACGCAAATACTAAGTTATAGACTATGAATTTACAATTGGTTTGAGGACGTGACATTTAGAATTTTAAAAAAGCAAGCATTTTGTCAAACATCTTAAGTGCGAACTGGGGCTTTCCCGAATTCATAAAGAACTGTATGAAAACAAGATTATATGCGTGTATATAAATATATATGAAAAAAAACACACACAATACACATCTCATTAACCGGTCTCATCTTAGAGAAACACAACGAAATCTATGGAGGTTAACAAGAAGCTAGAGAGAAAGATGAAACAAGAATTAGAGAAGAAATAGAAAACTGCTAAAGATTAAACTCACCCAACTCCAAATATGTTTGCTGCAAATTCTAAACTATTTGTGGATTGAAAGACAAATAGGGCTTTGTTCAAGCTTCTTCGTATTTTTTTTTTTTTTTTTTCCCCGGCTATGTTGAGGTTATACCAGATCTGCGGCCTTTACTAATCGATTGCGCTCCGTACCCGAGTCCATGTTAGGGGCGGTGAGAACTAGGGCTGCAAATGAGCCGAGCTTTAGGTTGTTCGGGCTTGGCTCGCCTAGCAGGGCCGGCCCTGAGATTCCAAATATTTTGAGAGGCCCTAGGCAAACTTTTAAATGTGTGAGGCCCTTAAGTTTCACACGCGCAAATAAAATTATAGGAGTGTGGAATTTTCACACGATGTTTTCAAATTCTATAGCTAATTTAATTATGCGCATGTGCATTATGCATAAGACAACTAACTAATAACTATAACCTTCATTCATTAAATCTTCATGTTCATTGACTAACTTCCTATGATCTTCATTCATTAAATCTTCATGTTTATTGAGATTTTCTTTATTTGCTTTCGAATTCATATGTTCTTCATTCACCAAATCTTCAACTAAACTCTCTATTTGTGTATTGCTCCTAAAAAACTTAAGATTATCTCCTTTTTGAGATTGAATCAATTCTTCTTCTCTCTTCTTTTTTTTTTTTTTCCTTTTTTCATGCCCAGATTCAAATTTTCTTGTAGACATAATGAAATCTCTTGAAATCTAAATAACAGGAACCATAATCAAACATAAAACTAGACTTCAAAATAATAATAATAATAATTTGCTTTGTTTAAAGAAAATATATATTACCTCAATATGCAATGATTTGATTCAAGTTCAAGGCAAATAACATCACGATATCCTAAGAAGAGTGTCCAGCTAGCATGTGAAAGAAGATCACAATTAACATAAAACGGATGAAGAATCAAACAGAAACAATAATAACTAAGCATTGCCGATCATACAATAAATAAAATAAAATAAAATCTAAAATCAAGCAGTTTGGTCGAATGATCTCCTGGCTGGAGTTTTCACTGGAATCTGGAGGAGAGGAGAGAAGACAAAACAGAGTATCCAAAATACAGTCCAAAAGTGGAAATGGGGAACAGAAAACTGCAGCTTCTTTTTTACATTCATTGTTTATATAGCAGCTAAAATTTGATGACTACAGATGACAAAAATATGTGGAGATGAGGTGACTATATATATAGCAGGCTGAACTTGTAGTGCTGAAGAAGTAGTGGGACTTTTAGGTTATATGTGGCATCCACTATCACATATAGTTTTGTCTTTCACTCTTTATATTAACTACACTTTGAGTGTGTTTTTTTTGGGAGCCAATTACCCCTTTCTTGATTTCAGGATGAGGAATCAACTTTAGTAGCAGTGATTGATTGATCATTGCTACAGAAGACCTGTGCAAATTAATAGAAATAACCATTAACTTTTGTTTTGTTAAAGCCTGCTCTTGATTTCCATGTGTTTGTACATTCTGATGGCAAGTGCTTTGACAGTATTATTAACTGAAATTCTAGCTGAGCCAACTTCAAATAACATCAATAATGGTGGTATGTATCTTCATATAAAAATAAAATATAAAAAAAACCCTTAATTTGGCACTTTTAAGTATGAGCATAATTTAGAGATCGAAAAAGTTAATTATTACCTCAAAGGCTCAACCCACTAGAAGGGATCCTTAATTTTCGTAGGATTGAATGTGAAAATGCAAAAAAATATGAGGAAAAGGGGTATGGTTGCTGCTGTTGTGAGATTGGAGTGGAAATAGGGAGAGGAAAAAAAAAAGTACCTGCCATAGATTATGGACTCGATCACCATGAAAGACACATGTAGAAAGGCACACATTTATTAAAATACTAAAAGAACCATAATATATTCATTCAGCTTTTGATAGCCATCACACACACACACACACAAAACCCTAGTTTGGAAGCTACTTTTCACTACTGTAACAAAGGTAAAGGCCCGAATCAAACGAACCAAAGTTAGAACAAATCAAATGATGAGATGAACGAAAGAAAGAAACATATACAAAAGATCGATTCATGCAAAAGGAGAGAGAAGAGAGAGAGAATGAACATACCTTGTCACCTGAGGCGATAGCTGAGGCAATAGCGGAGGCTGCGCCCTGCTGAGTGTCGAAGCAGATTGTGTCGTCTGAAACTTGCCCTAACTTATTATTTTTTTGTTTTTCCATCCCCTATGGGCCCCAAAATTTGACGCCTCTAAAATTTGAGCCCCAAGGCGACCAAGACTTTGCCCAACTTAAATTTAATTTGAGGCCATTTTGAGGACCTCTAAAATTTGAGGCCCAAGGTGACCGCCTTGGGCCGGCCCTGGAATTTGTTTTTCGTGGTTATACATGTTTTTCCAACATAATATGGGATGTGCACAACCTTATACTCATCAGTTAACGCATCGTAGCCAAACCCATATGAACCAACCTTATGGTAGGCGGGGTCAAGTAAGAAAAATTCACCAACAATCACCTTCGAATCGACTTCCAATTTCAATATTTAGTTGGGCTAGTGGGCTATTTAACTTAATGGACTCTATTTGTCAATGGGCTTCTAATTACAAATCAACTAATTGGACCAATGAAACAAACATAAATTTGGGCTAGTATATATGGATTAAACTTTTTAATATTATTATTATTTAAACGAGAGCTCGCTCACGAACCAAACTTAACATTGCTCAAGTTCAGCTCAGCTCGTTTACTAAATGAATCTGAAAAATGAGCTCGAGCTCGGCTTGTTAACTAAACGAACGAGCCCGAGCCAAGCTTTTAATGAGTCGAGCCCGAACTATTCATGATCAACTCGGTTCATTTGCAGCCCTACTTAGAACTCGTTTGGATTGCTTCCCACGGCTTAAAAATATTTTTATTTTAAAAAATTGCATTTAGAAATGTATTCGGGAAAGAATTATCCAGATATCATTTTGTTGGTTACTAAAAATTTAATTCAGTAGATCCGTTTGAATGAAGTTAGAATTTAATACTTTTAAAACTGCTTTTCTCAATAGAGGTTGAATATTTTGGGTAATTCTTTTTCATTAGACAGTTTTACTTTTTCTTTTTATATTTTTTATAAAGACAATTACATCTCTTTCTTATAAAGTTGCTATTATCAATTATGGTAACATCATACCATATTAAAATATATTATTGTAAAATTAGTAATAGAAGTTTTTTAAAAAAAATTGTTACTAAATAAATTAAAAAATAATTTAATTGTGAAAACTATTTATTAAAATGTGTCATCAAATATTTAACATGCCTTTTATTATTCATAATATTTTGACAACTCTATTAATAAAAAGGGCTAAATGCTCTCACACCCCCTTAGGTTTCGACTTATTGCTCTCATATTAAACCTTAGCCAAAATTGCTCTCACACCCCCTATAAAAAATATGAAAAAAGTGTTTTTACTATTATACCATTGACTTTATTAAATCTCATGCTTATGTCATTGCTGACATGTATAGCTCAAACGTGAAATAACAATATTACCTTTTATTATTTAATTGAAAAAATAAAAAATAAAAAATAAAAAATAAAAAACAAAATCATCAATGGCCACCACACCCTCCTGGATCCTTGACTCCGGTGCCTTTATCCATGCCTCATGCTCACCCTTGCAAAAGCCTCTTCAGATATTGAGTGCATATAGATCTCCACTCTGTCTCACCCTCCTGGATCCTTGACTCCGATTATAGGTGATCTCTAAATTCCAATGCCGTTGCATTAGCAGTATTTAAATAAATCTTTTCGTATATATATATATATATATATATATATATATATATATATATATATATATATATTTGTCAACAGTTAAAGTGGTTACCAAAAGAGTTTTTTTTTTTTTGGGTAAACTAACTCTCTATTTGGCTGCAGAGAAATGAAAGGAAAATAAAATGGATTTTTTTTTATTTATTTGGAAACTAAAATTTGGAAACTAAAATGGATTTTAATCTACATCAATTTTTTTTTTTTTTTTTTGGGTAAACTAACATTTGTTTCTATTTTTTTTTTGGTAAATTCTATATGAATGACTTTGTAAAAATAGTGATGTCCATGGCTTCTATTTTTTTTTTCCCTCCCAAGTGGTTGTGGTTTGGTGGCGGTGGTGGTGGTTAGGGGTGACCATGGTTTGTTTTCTGCTCTTCCTATGACGGCCCTGGTTTTTCTAGCCAGTGTATCCTGTGATGAACCAAAGTTTGACCCGATAACGGATCCAAAATGCGAAAGTGAAAACATAAACACGGTTTCTAGGGATATACAACATCCCTAGGACGCCAAAGTGACCTTCCATGATGCCACGGAATTCTATGAGAGCCGACGCGGAATAAAATATTAGAAAAAGACTGAAAGAAGCCCCGAAGGACAAGATAGTCATTTTACATGGAAGCAATATCACTAGGAATGTACATCATTCCCAAGTCACAGAACTCAAAAGAAAGTATAGCAGAAGCATAATAAGAAGGAAAACCGAACAAGTTTAGCCCCAAGGGCAAACTGGTAATTTTTCTAGAAAGATTCAGATGTAACCGAGTACACCAATGGATAGACAACGGAAAATTAATCAAGTTAGACTCAAAAATCGCTTGATTCAGAATCCGGACGAAGAAGATATGGCCTAACAACGAAAAACGGACAATTAAAGCCCTAGGGGCAAACTGGTAATTTTTTAAAAATATTCTAGTGCAACTGAGTACACTGTTGGATAGATGACGAAAAATCAGTCAAGTTAGGCTCAAAAATCACCAAAAACGGAGTCTGCATGAAGGAGAAACAATCGTTTGAAATTTGACATCGATGAAGCAAAGGGACAACAAGCAACCCCTCATACGCGCCGTGCACGCGGCACAAGCCTTGACGGCAGCACTGTGTTGCAACTGAGAGCAATTTTGGGCATTCAAATGGACTTTTTTTAAAAAACATAAAGAAGAAACCCCCCCCCCCCCCCCCTAAAATCAAGTTTTCTGTCCAACCATGTTGAAAGAAAATTTTAAAACGCTCTGTGAAATGCCTAGTATGCCCCCAGATCAGCTTAAGTCAAAAACGATGAAAATGCAACTTTGCACCAAGTGCTCATTTGACCCTAAATGCATTTCTAGGTTAAAACAATTATGCACACAAACATATTTAGTGATTTTAAATACGCAGGAATGACTTGTGGGCCCCATAAAGGCCCGATGCAAAATAAGACCTATCCAAACCTCAAAAATGCCAAAAATGGACTTTAAAAGAGAAATTTGAAACTTAAAATTTCAAAATGAGATCAAATGACCGTTTAACCCTTGGCCACACTTCATGCATAAATGAAGAGATCCTATAGAAGTACTAAAGCCCATTTCCCACCACCCATGCAAATGTAGTGAAGTTAATACATGTCATTTTTATATTTTTCAACAAAATCACTTAAAAATAAAAGTATTTAGAGTGCCACCTAGCGTCTATGTCAAATGTGAGACTCAGGGTGCATCCTAAACTACCTTAGATCATTTCTAGCATAATTCACATCATTCATGCAATTCAAACAACATAGAAGTATGTTATACAAAGCAACAAGGCGTATATTCTCAAAGTCATCAACTTTAAATCTAAAATACGAAATCATCTAAAGTGGTTTACGCCACCTAACGTCTATGTTCCAAAGTAAACTAAGGAATCATCTCAACTACTAAAATGGTTGAAATGAAATACAAAATACACAAGTCTCTATAATAATTTTAGAACTTTAAATACCAAAATCACAAGTCACAATTAAGCATTGGTTACCAACTTGTAATTAAACAAGAAATTAAATAGCAGAATATCTTGGACATCGAATCCTGGAATAAAACCAAGACGTGGCAGTTGATCGGGCTACTAACCCACGGAAACAACCCAAGTGCGCACTAGACGTCAACAGTTACTTCAGGCTATTAACCCTCGGGAACAACCCAAGTACGCACTATATTTGTAAAGGAAACTCTCATCCCCCGTGCTAGGACCATGCCCTAACCATATCAAATTGTGTGATATCCCAAATGTTTCCAAAATAAGTTCAAAACTTATACAAAATCAAATAATGCATAGAAACCGCCATCCACGCACAAGTAGAGATCAAATCACATAAGTCATGTCTTAGAGTTTCAAGTCTACAATGACATTTAAAATGACGAATCTTCAATGTGCGATTCGTTACACGCTATAGAAATATTGTTCCAATATTGAAAACATAATCTCATGAATATAATACAAGTCTAAAATCATGATTTAAACATTCAATCAACACCAAATACATGATTAAGTCACTAATGTAATAGAATCAGAAATTAATTACATAACTCAATTAATTTCCCTAGATTTCAATCTCTTCCAAATAATTTCTAATTAACATATGTTAAACAATATAACATGATCATTACATATATTAACTCAAAAATTTAATTAGGTCATTGGAACAATTAAATAGATTTTAATTAAAATTTCTAGATTTTAAAACTCATCCAAATGCTCTCAAATTAAGCTATGTTAAGGAACATGTCAAGACTTAATTTAACATCACATTAGAAGTTACTTCCATGCAAGATACAACTATGAGAATTAAACTTTTATTCAAGAAAATAATTAAATAAAAGTTTCAAAACCTATTCAAATATTCTTAATTTAATATATATAGAAGAACATAGCATGCTCATCAATAATATCTAGTTAAAATTTCAATTAAGTAATTAGAACACTTAAAATATAATTAATTAATCTAATTAATTAATTTTCTCTAGATTTTAAAATAACTCCAAATATTCTCAAATTCACATATGTTAAAGAACATACCAAGGTCTAATTTAATATCATAGTACAAGTTGATTCCATGCTACTTACAACCATGTGAATTAAATTTTCATACAAGTGAAAGATTAAATAAAAATTTCAATACTTATTCAAATACTCCCAATTTAATATATGTTAACAAATATATCAAGACCTAATTTAATAGCATGCCACAATTTAATTCCAAAATATATACAACCATGAGAATTAAATCTTATACAAAGAAAATAATTTAATTAAATTTTAGATAAAATACTTAGGCATGCATACAAGTTGTATAAGTATAGAAAATCATCAATACAACAATTATGTAAACCTAAAACATCCCCTGCCTTATTTT